TAGCCCCGCAGAGAGCACCGAGGGTTTATTATAGCCGGCGCTCGCGGCGGCAGATTCATGGGCCTTTCGGGCCAGAGACCGGGAGCGGGCGCCCTGGGCTTTCTGGTTGTACACGGAGTGGTGTGTGGGTATGTCTGTTCGTCTGCTGTTCTTAGTCGTTATTGGAGTAGGGTTTTCTTATTTGTTTTTGATTTAGTTCTCAAATCTACCAGACGTTGTTGCTACTGTGGCCTAGGTTAGCAACCCCCTCCCCGCCCCGCTCCCGCCATTCACACACCGGATGCTAAGACTAATCAGATTCCGCTGGTTGAAGAATATGAATAACCCCCTGCTCAAAGTGCACGCGGACTCTGGCTTTTTTAAAACTTACCAGGCATCAGGTTGTTAACGCATCCTTGTTGTCTCATCCTAGACTCTAATGTGTTTTGTTGCCCTTAAATGATTAATAGCAGAAAGACACTACTAACTTTAGCCTCCCATTATGAAATCAAGGACTCCAGGAGTTAGAGCAGGTACCTTACGTAGCCAGATCCACCTCTGTCTTCTCTGAAAGACCAAAACCCCTTTCCCTACTCCTTCTCTGCAATGGGGCCTCTACCTGGTATCACTGCTGCCATGTGATATTTCATGAAGTTCTGGTTTACTGTTTTTTCTCTAAGTCAAGAATGAAACATTTCAATTCAGCAAATACCTGTGCATCTTCTCTGGGCCAAGCAGGCATGGGCACTGGAGATACAAATATGAATTAAATAGTTTCTGCCATTCAGGAGCTCAAAATCCAATGGATTAGAATATACCTACTGAGTAGTTAGGTAGTGTGGGTTATGCTATACCAGTGATGTGAACAAAGTGACAGATTCACATATTTCCTAGCATATTAAGGTCTTTAATACTGACTCGATTTTTGCCTTTTCAAGATTTCCGTCAAGGCATGATAGAATAAGTGGGGAAAAGTTAGTGATGCAGGTCTGAATCCTGGGGCCTACACCGAAAGCTGCTATGCTGGGTATGGAAGTTTGGCACTCACGTTCATTCCTACCTGTTGCCAGTGTGCCTTCTTGTACAGGAGAAACTGGAAAGCTAAAAGCATTTCCCAGACTCCCTTCCAGTTTGAGTTCTGGATATAAAATTAGGGTCTGGCAAGTAGATGACTTGCCTGAGATTTCAAAAGCCAAGATGAGGCAGAAGCCATCTCCCTGCTATTTTGGGCTGTTTTCTGTTGGCGGGGAAGGTGGAGGAGATGCCAGTGTCCAGTCTCCAGAATTGTGGGTGTTGGAAAGGGCTTACAGCAGTGATGACAGCCAAACTCAGCGTGCCTTTTAGAATACCAGCTCTCTGGCTGTCAAGAGGCAGTTGAGGGAGGTAGTAAACTTCTCTGAGTTCCCGTCCAGTCAGCTTCCAGTTCCCAGCTGCTCAGGGTCAGGGCTGCAGTGTATTATTGAACTCCCTGGTCACTGTGGGCCTCCTGACGGCGGCAAAAATAGTATATTCCTTGGTGGTTCGTTTACTAGTGTTCTAGACATCATTCCTGGAGGTCCGGCCAAGAACCTGCACTTGTAGGCCTTTCAGCAGTCTCTAGCCTTTCAGCAATTCACTTAATTCCCTGTTGTAAAGTCACTTTCTGCTCAAAATACTTGATACGTTTTCCATTTTCTGCTCTGACTCTGAGTAATATGTTTGCTGAGTAGTCTCTAAAAGTCACCTAAATCTAATCTCTTCAATTTCCTCGGATAAGAGATGAAACCATGAGATTAGATCCAGGGGCTGGCAGTGATTTGAATGCCTTCGGTTGCACTCTGCCCTCTCCCATGGCTATAGACCCCACATTTGAGTTGGCCCCTGAAGGTGTTAGTTACCCATAGATTAGCTTATCTCTGAAGTCTCTTCCTCTACATGTATAATGTAAAACATTTCTTTCTTTAAAACGTTTTTTAGAGTATGTTCTATAACAAGAGATTGTGGATTATCTGGTTCATGACCAACTGTTCACTAGTCCTATTGATAACTGGTAGGCCCCTGGCTCTCGGAACACACAAACCCCAGTGAAAGAACAGATTTTTCCTCTTGGGGAGAAGAATTTACATCTTCACACAAAGGCTAGGAACCTAGTACCTGAGGAGGTGGAGCGGCCTGTCTCTGCACCTCTATGATTAGGGAGTGTTCCAGCATTTTGTAGTCGTGCGTCATGTATGTTAAGGAGAGTGCAATTATGATAAGTTCTAAGAGTTTTAAACTGACTTATAAAGCTATTAAGTATATCTCGTCAATATAATAAAAGTGCTCTTTATTTTTAGAAATCTCTTATTTATGTTTCTGTGGTTCATAGGAGGACTGAAAGTTTTGAGTTTACCAGTGTCCCTGTCTGTGTGCTTCAGTACAGTCCACGCATGCTTCTTCCTCAAGGAAAATCTGTAAAAGGAAGATAGAGCATTGGGGGGACTTAATTGGGACTCCATGATGTACTTAGTACTGTTTTAAGGTTTTCTGTGACATAGGCATTGCCACCATTTTACAGCTGAAGAAAATCATCGTGACTGGCTAAGTAACTTGCCCCGAATGACCCAATTAGGAGGCAGTGACGCAAGGATTTGCACTCAGGGTTTTCATCTCCATTTTCCTCTGTCCACTCCACATCTTGTGCTTTATGCTCAAATTGACATGGATGTGCATAAAATTCCCTACATGCACTTTCCTTCCCACCCCTCATCCTTTAATCATGTGTTTCCTCTGCCTGCGGTGATCTTTATTTTCCCTACAAGACTAAGTCATGTTTCAAGACTTGATTC